GGGTAGTCAATTGCCTCAATATCACTTGTTAAATAACCTTTTTTTCCATTCACTGATTAGAAATGCCACCAAATTCCTGCAAACCTGTCAACTTATCACACTTTTTTCTGCTTCACTACCTATTTGTTTAATTCCTCTGTCAGTGGCAATTGTTCAAATTACTAACACTTTATAGCACATCCACTTTTTGATAAGGTAAGTCTCAACACTTTTCCAAGTTGTTTTTTCTTTTTGATTCAAACACATTCACTTTTCTCAGATCAATGTTTCTCAAGTTTCCCCTCAAAATACCCCACTGAGTTTCTGTGGAACCAGAATTCCATTAAATTTATGGATACAATGAAAAACAATGATATTTTCCCAATATTGAGATTCCCACCCAGTAATAGGCAAACATGCAAAGCCTCATTTAGACACACACACACACAAACACATCTCTATAACCTTTTAATGTGACTGTAAACTAGCACCCTGGCCCCACGCCAATGAATTTCTTAAATCATAAAATCTTAAGAGCTAGAGACACATTATAGATCACTTAATCCAACACCTCTTGTAATCCCAGTTATGTTTACCTGAAGCCTACTTAGGAGAATCAATTCAAAATTAAAATTAATGTATCTTTTACATTCAACATAATCATAAAAGGACTATATGAATCACGTAAAAGGCAGAGAAGGGGGCTATCTTTATTGAAAACTGCTTTCAATTTAGGAGACATACTTGGGCTCAAAGGGAAAAAACACTGAGTACCTTATGTGTATACAGTGGAGAGGGCCTCAAGTGCTTCTAGACACTCATGATTCCACGGTAAAGCTGTATTGTTACAGTGTTGTCCAAGAACCAAACTTCAGAGTACCAAACCATTCCATTCCCAATTGTTCCACCATATTTATTAAGAACACAAATCCAATAACAATCTCCAAATGAAACAAGCCTCAAACCCAATTCTAAAAGTGTTTCTCAAAACTGGCTGCCCATCTGACCACTAGTGGAGCTTCTAAAAATAGGACGGCTTAGGTCGCACATTGAGATTTTTACTTCAGCAGGTCCAGCAATGCTAGATCATTGCTTTCTTTCTGTTTGTATTTTTTTTAAGCTGTAGTACTTTCTAGTCTCAGCCAGAGTTAAGAACCAATATTCTAAAATATTTAAGAAGAAGAAAGCCCCATAATATATACCAAGTATCCCTACATGGGGGCGGGGTGGGGGCGGAGAGTAATTAAATAAAATCTTTACCTCTTCATCAGACCAGCCACATTTACTGCTGATTATATGGAGAGTTATGTTTCTATATTACACCGAAGTCTTGAAACAAACAAAAAAAATGCTAAAACAAAGCTTTAAACTATTCACAGATTGATGATGCCATTATAACACTTGAAATCCTTTTCCTTTTTTCTCCCTTGAAAGTTACCCTCTACCCCATCTCCTCTCCCAAGAGAAAGGAAAGTTGATGTTCATTTTAAAAACTGCAAGTACCACTAAGATTTTAAGTAAATTCCTCTTTCCTTTGTAAAAGAGAAGGGTGAAAGCACACTCATAGAAAGAAAGAGAAAGAAAGAAAGAAAGAAAGAAAGAAAGAAAGAAAGAAAGAAAGAAAGAAAGAAAGAAAGAAAGAAAGAAAGAAAGAAAGAAAGAGATTGATGATTTGGCTGTGACATCAAGACATTAGATGAAATTTCAGTCAAAGAACTGTTGCTTCTAGACTGCAGCAAACTGCCAACACACTAAAGCACCCTCTAAAGGTAGCCTGAAAGCAAAGGCAGGCCAATATGCTAAAGGAAAAACTTACATACAATAATGCAACACATAAACTAAATCAAAATGTTCCTAAGATCTAACCCTCCAAGAAAATGTTCTCACTTTCTAATAACAATACATTGTACTGAACTGAAGTACATAAAGCTACACAGGAAGTTATATGATAAATAATTAGGATAAAACATGCATTAAATAGATCTAATCACAGAAGTGCTGTGCAAAAGGAGGCCCATGAAACCAAATCATCCTACAGACTACTCTCTCATGCTCCAATTTTGGCCCACCAGCAAAAATACTTTCTTACATTCTGTAAAGTCATTTGGTGAAAGAGCTGTCCAGTATTTTCCATCTTGAAAGAGAAGGTAACATGCATGGACGTTTACCACCTTACTTTAAAAGAAAAAGAAAACACAATTTTCTTAAATAAGGACGGTGCCTTGTCCAAGCAAGAGTCAAATAATTTTACATTTAAGAAACAACAGCATATGAAGAGACAGGTATTCATGGTTTAATGGGATCAGTTTCATAACGATGAACAATTTCATCAACACCTTCTCTTAGAAATGCGGCCCAAATCAATGATTTAATTCCTAGACCTTGACCTTTATATCACATGACCATATGAAAATAGCAAAACTCAAGTAACAAGTATGAATAAGGGCACAACTGTAACCCCAAAAGATATGCAGTCAAAAATGAGATGATGTATGTTTATACACACAAGTAATTTGCCAAGGGATTAAAACAAGAAGAGACTAAAAAAGCCTTTCTCCAAAGCTTTCCCGTGTGAATGATTTCCATTCAAGCCACATGCCTCTCAGGTATTGAAGAGCAGACCCTGCTTCTGGAGTATTTCGAGCAAAATCAGCTTCCTGGAAAAAGTTATAAAGAAATAAAATCTTCCCTCAGTAAATATTCCTTTTGAAGTATTGCTACATTGGAATAAATAACTTTGCTGAATTAGCATATCTTTTAGTACATTATACTTTTAAAACAATGAAGTATTTAGACATATATTCTCATCTTGGAAAAAAAGACTAAAACAATTCAGACATATATATACCACTGTAGACCATGAAAGCTCATTGAAGGTCTGGGAAAACAGTGCACTACCCTCTTCTAAATGACCATAAAAGCTAACTTTACACTTAAAATGTACCTGTCGATTTGTCCCAAAATCTGGACTCTTCTACTTTGCCCAAATACAATTAAGATTTAGGTCAACTGAGGGCAAATTATTCTGCCTAAATATTTTGTGATACTGAACTCCAATTTCACTATGTCCCAAAAGCTTACTACTAATAAATAGCTAGGATGATTTACAATTCTAGAAACAATTCTCTCAGGAATTTTAACTTGACACCAAGCTTTTGACTGCTCACAGGTAGGAGTCCAAGACATGGAGAGAGATAAGTGACCTGGGCTTGTTCAGTAAAAGCCTAGTTATTAAATATATGCTATTAAATTTTACTAGTATTTCAAAATCTTTCTCTTTCCCATAGTTTTTGTCCCTCTCCCCCTTTATTCCTTTTTACCTCATCAACTTGCAAGAAATCAAGAAAGCTATCCCCAATATCAAACACACTACCTTTGATACAGTATAGATTTGGATGTTTAGCGGTGGTTTCGGTTTAAATTTCAAATTCAACACATATTTCAAACTTGACCCCCAAGCTACACTCAAAATAGCTAAAAGTTAGTTAACCATCATTTTTTTCTATTTAATTTCCCCCTCTTCTTATAACCTTAAAAGCAGAACACAAATTAACTGCAGACAAATACAGAGAGAAAAAAGGTTTCTTGGTTCAATCCAGGCACACCAGTAAACAACCCTGGGTGGACAGGGAAAACCAAGAACCACTCACATATCCCCTATTCGGAATTTGCATGCAAATTCTGTAACACAAAGTTCTTGCATTCACTTTGAAGATTTCAGTAACTCAATCCCATGCTTTCTGAAACGTTTTTATTTAAAATTCTGAATACAGATCTGCACAAACAATTCAAAAGACATGAACTTTATTTCAGTTTACTAAAATACTGAGCACTAAAGTCTCCTACTAGGTAGAGTCAGGGCAATCTAGGCAGAATGTCTTCTCACAGAAGCACTGTACCTGAAGATCTCTGTGTTAATTCACCTTCAGTAATATATTCTCCCTCCTGCAAATGCTCTTGCCTACAACTCACTGTTCCCAGAATACACTTAGACTGATTTAAGTTTGAGGGCACAGATTTACCAAGGTTTTAATAGATCACTTAAGGCTGGTGGCAAAAAGAACATCTGCGAGTGGTGTTTGAGGGATTCACCTGGCACACGGTAAATTTATAGAAGGGGAAAAGGGCCGCAGGGCTCTTAGTGCTTCTGTAATTGAAAATCACCTACACACTGGCCTGGCTACCAAAACGAAGGTTCCATCAGAATAAGTGTCTAGGTGGCTAACTGATTTCGTGGAGGTGAGAATTAAAAACAAACACACGCATCACATACTATACAATTTTAGCTGTCACCAAGAAAAGGGCACGTCTAATTCAGCAAAAAAAGTCATTTTTCCTTCGAGGAGGGCAGCGGTTTGGAGTCATTTGCAGGGGGTGGGATTGCAGGAAGGGGGGAGAAGGGAGGGGGCGTGGAATAAAGGAGTGCTAAATAAAGAGGGAGCCAAGGGGGTTTGCACAGGGCCCCACACAGGCCACTGCGGAGAGAAGACGGGGGAAGAGGGGAAGATGTCTCACCGGGGGACAAAACCGAGTGCAAACCGGCTGGAAGAAGGAAGGTTCCACCCCCCCACTCCACCCCCCGCCGCCCCAGGAGAAGAGCTAGGGTGCAGATAAAAAGCTCTATGGGGCTGGTTACCCTGGTATGCAGGGAAAAGGGACGGCGGGAATACCGAGGTCTACAGAGATGGAGAGGAAAGGAAGGATGAGGCAGGGTCTCTGAGAAGTGCGAACCAAGGATGAGGACAAACAGCGGGACTTGGGCCTCCCTGGGCCAAAAGGCGTGGCCAAGGTTCCAGATTTAAAAAAAAAAAAAAAAAAAAAAAAAAAAAAGGTTTTTGAGACGCCAGGGGGAAGTGCGCGGCAAACCCCTTCTTCAAGACCCCGAGCCGGGCCCGTCCGAGGGGCCCCCCTGCGAGGCACCTCCAGGGCGGAGCGCGCCCCGTAGGGCTCCGGCCTCGCCCGCCTGGCCCTCCGCAGGGCTACTGGCCAGGCCCCCGCCCCCACCCCCGCAGTGCTCTTACCTCCACACCTGCCCCATCTGCAGCAGGTGGATGACTGTCTGCCAGATCCACACGGAGAGGCGGCACAGGCGCTGCGCCCCCGGAGTGGCCGAGCCCACAGCACCGGGGCCGCCGCGGCCGTAGCCAGCCCCCATCATGGGGGGGCCTCGGCTGCTGAGCCCCTCCACGGCGCCCAGCCCGCCGCCCGTGTAGTCCTGCACGAACCAGCGGAAGCTCAGGCTCTGCACCAGCAGCGACGGCACCAGCACGAAGAAGAGGGTCAGCCCGAAGTAGCCGTAGTCCCCCTTGCGGTAGTAGTCGAGGGCCAGCCACAGGTCGGTGCCCACGTCCCCGAAGAAGACCAGCAGCGCCAGCACGATCCACAGGCAGTCGAGCCACGGCCGCTCCACCTGCGGCGGCGGAGGCTGCGGCCGCGCGGCCGAGGGCGTCGGGGGTTGGCGGTCGGCGCCGGCGGCCACGGGTGGTTGCAACGGCTGGTCCCCCCCGTCGGCGGCGGCGGCGCTGCGGCGCGGCTTCTTGCCCAGAAGGGAGCGCAGGCAGGCGGAGCGGCAGCCCCAGTAGCACGAGGAGGTGTTGCAGCAGTGGCAGATGTGCAGCGAGCTGCTTTCGCCGGGCTCGCTGCCGTCTCCGCCGCCGCCGCAGCCGCCTCCCCCGGGCTCCCCGTCCTCCTCGCCTCCGCTGCCCACCGCCTCGTCCAGGTTGTGCAGTTGGGCGAAGCCCACCCCCACGCCACCGCCATCGGATTTCGCCGCCATCTTGACTCTCTTCCCAGCTCCGGAGGTTGGGGGGGGAGGGACGGGTAGGGGGGGAAGAAGGCAGGGAACGGGGAGGGGGGAAACGAATGGAGAGGAAGGGGGGCGGGGAGGAAGCGGGGGAGCAAACGAACGAGGGGGGAGTGGGCCAGGGAACCCCCTCCGCTTCCGGGTAGTTGGCGTCACTTCCGGGCGAGCCCCCCAATCGCACGGCGCCCGCAGCTCCCCAGCCCTACCCTCCCGGCCAAGATGGCCGCCCTCCTATGCCTCAGCTGCTGGGCGGGGGGCCGGGGGGTTCTCCCCGCCAGGGCTCCCCTTCCCCTCTTCCGTTGACCCCGAAACCCATCAGGTTGACCCCTCGGCGTCTCTGAATCCTGCTGGGCCGAGTGAGGCGGTCCAAAGTGATCCCTGGAGGGGGCAGTGCCAGACGTTTTGGGGTCCCCTTCCTCAGCGTCGCAGCTCACAGCTTTCCTCCAGGAAAAACGCCCCCTAACACCCTCCCCGCTGCTGGCGGAGGGGCGGGACCTCTGAGGGAAGGGGCGGAGCTAGTGCAAAGCAGGTGATTACGTGTCACTTCCGGGAGATAGGATGACCTCATTGTGTAGTTAGACAGCCCCCCCTTCAAAATGGCTGCTTCACCTATTTGGCTGTTTCTTTTTTTTTTTCTTTTAAAAATGCTTGTATTCTCTTCTTGTTTTGAGGGTCTTTAGAAATTACATGGGCCAGCTTAGATTCCCAAACACAACTTACTGATTCTCACTTCTATTTAGATACCTCCTTCCTCTTTTACCTCTGTTGACCCCTGATTTTCCTGTCACTGACAACTTTACCATCTTTTGTAATAAAGTTTCCACAATTCCCTTAAGAAAACTCCAACCAAAATCCAGCTAAAAATCAGCCTGATTACATCTTGAATGTTGGAGCAAAGATTGAATTCGCATATTGTGACCTTGAGTATATCATCTTCACCATTGAAATGTATTTCTGTCAACTTTTTTTTGTGTGCAATTTTAAAATTCTGTGACCTTAATTTGGAAAATTCAGAACCAGCCAAGGGTTGAGCTCTATCAGTTACTTTTTCAGGCTATTTGAATGTGTGAAGATTGCCTTTTAGAAATTTTTGGTGCTAAGGCTCTGTCAGTAAACATGGCTTTAAATGAGTGAAAATGTTATCAATGTGCTATTTCATTAAAATAGGTGCAGGGTACACCATTTAATCTTAACAAATTACAAAAGTGAAGCAGCACTGAATGGATTTGAATTACAATGACCTTCCAGTGAAAGTATATTTGAAGCCATGTAGAGCAAGCTACATGGTTAGAGTTGTTACTGATCAGGTGAAAGAAACATTTTGAAGTTAAAAATAGAAAAAAAATCTTAAACACTGCATTTTTCTCATTACCTCTATAGATGGTTGTATTCATTTTTCTGATTCCATCTACTTTCTCCTTCAGTAAAACCTAATAATGTCAATAACTTTCTTGGGAATGCTATGGACAAATTAGATAATATTTGTACGGATGGAAGTGAAGTACTCCAGAAGAAAAGTGCCTTTGAAGTGTTCAGTAATGTTATTTTGACATACATGATATTTAACACTATAGCAATTAAGTTTTGAGGGTGGCAGGAAAAGGTGGGGATTCCACATTTCAGGACACAACTTTTCATGAGTATTTATGCCAAGGTGAAACCTGTGAACACTTTAAGGAAAGTACTCATAGAGAATTGTTATACCACTCATTTCATTTGAGGGTGGGGAGAATAATTCTAAAATGTACTTTTGGGAACAAGTCACACAGCTGTATCCTTTCATTTCATGCTATGCTGTAAGCCTCTTGATACGATGGTAATAAAACTTGTAGGCAGCAGGTAAGGGTTATTTTTACATATAACTGAGATTCTGTTTCTTTTTTGCTGAATTTGAATTAAAAACACCTGAGAAAGACGGTATACCTGTATGGTAAGACTGCCCAGGTTTGGATCCCAGTTTCACTAAAATAATGTGAATGATGTGAGCAAGATTGTTAACTTCTTTAAACTTCAATATCCTACATTATGTAGGAAATAATAATAGACCTTTCTTTGAAATATTTTTGGGCAAATTAAATGTGGTAATCCATTCAAAGCTCTCAACATACCTGATAGATAGTAATAGAGAGTAAGCACTAAATAAATGGTAACTGCCATTATTATTGTTATTATTAACATCACTATTGTTGCTATTACGTTTGCATAGTACCAACATATAGTTGCCTAAATTCTATCATTCACATTTGGTATCTCTAATAATGAAAGCATTTTTCAGCACATCTGGGAAATAAGTGAAATTAATTTATGTTTTAAAATATATTTACTCTAAGCTGTGAGGCTATGAAATGACATACAAAAGCAAGGAACAATGGCATATTTATGATTCCTATTTCTCTGTGCCCTAAAAGAAAATAGTCTACTAGTGAAATTAGCTAATTAAATTATACTCTCTGTATAAGGCTGACAAATGTGATAGAGTAAAAAAGCATTTTCACAATTGAAGTTTCAAGTTGATTTATAAGATTCAGAGACTTTCAAGAGATTTCAACTTTACATTTGCTGTTCAACAACTTTATCATTCTACATTACTTTGAAGTGATACACTGTAGAACCCAGGAGGTCCTAAAATTAAAGTCTCTTACAATGATAATAAAGCTATCATGAGACTCACTGAAAGGTTAACATAAATTTGGACTGGGTTATGAATGGTACTTTTTTTTACCTACAGTATTGGGACAGTTACGGTTCCGAGTATGTTCACCACTTAGCACAGTGCTAAACACATCACAAACATTCAATAAATATTGGCTAAATGAGTGAATTGATTAAGTTAATTTTCCGAATACCTGAAATTTACCCTTTTCAAATGTCCCCATCAAGTTGTACTTTATATTTTGTGATGTAAATCTTTATAAAACTCATTGATATATGAGGTCTGTCCAGAACATATCCAGCCATGAAAAATACAGATGTTTATTGAAGAAGATGCAAAACACAAGAAACATTGTACATGGGACAATGATGTCTCAGTCCCCTTCAAAGTAGGCTCCTTGGGACCTCACACAGTCCTCCCAATCACCATCAGCTGGCCCCCTCATATTTTCCTGAGTCCCATCAACAGTCTGAAATCTCTTTCCTTTCAAAGGTGATTTAGTTTTGGGAAAAGCCACAAGTCACAGGTACTGCATCTGGGCTGTAGGGTGTCTGAGTTACCTGGGTGATTAGGTGTTTCACCAAAAAAGTCTGCCTGAGATGTGATGCACGAGCAGGTGCATTGTTGTGATGAAGCTGCTAATCACAGCTAATCAGAAGCTGTGGCTTTCTGAATCATCTGAATAGTTTCCTGAGAGGAATGTATAAACTTAATGCAAAATCTGATGGAGGTTCATTGCTCTACTCGCTCAGTTATTTTGAATGCAATGGCCACACAGTACATCTGCTCACTCAATGGTGTCTACCTCCCCCACTGACTAGTACAGTGAAGTTGTCATTGTTCACACATATGCATTCCAGTTCACTCTTCTTGGATGCCAGGTTACATTGATGTCACATAAACTGTTCTTGTTATATTAACAATGGCTGAACTTTTTCCAGACAGACCTTAGTATTATAGAGATACCACTATTCTTTAGTAAACAAGGGGTGTAGTGCTGGGGAATTAATTTTTTAAAAAAATGCATTGTCCAAAGTTCTGCTTTCTTAACAGCATACCAGTTAACCCTTTCCTGATGACTTGACCTTAATGTTAGTCTCATCCTAAGAGGCTCTGACTATTTATGGGCCTACTAAGGAGCCACCCCAGGCCTACTAGACACTTTTGTTGTTTTTGTTCCTAAGTAAGAATTTTTTAAATCTCTGCTTTTCATAGTTCAATCAGGTAACAACTTTGGCTCCTGTTACTTTCACTCTGATAGATAGAGACTGGGAAGTCAAACCACAAAGCATGTAGGAATTAGGTATAAAATAATAATAAGTAGATTTTTAGAGCCTCTTCTATGAGTAAAATAAAACAGAATTAACATAAGGAAATTGTAGCATATATCTTGGCTGTTTAGCAAAACCTTTAGGGTTTTCCTCCCAATTCTCTGCTATTTTCAGAAAGACAAAAAGGGGAAAGTTAGTGTTGAATGCTATTATGTATTAGACATGCTCTCAAATATCATTCCATATAATCTTACCACAGGCCAAAAGTAATGGAGATTAGTATCCCCATAATAATGGTCTAGAAAGTAGCCTTGAGTCTACCAAATGACTTAGCCAGAGTCAACTGCATGGGAAGTGAAGTGACCGTGGATTAGAATTCACGCAGGTTTGGTTCCAAAGCCTAAACAATTGCCCTGGGCTAGGCAGTTATTTATTGGGCCCTGGAAATGAAGTCCGTGTTACAGTACTAGTCACTGAAGGGACTCTGTTACGATGCCGACATACATCTAAGAGACAGAAAACTTGAATTCCATGGAGATTTGTGCCAGCAAAAGCATTACAATGGTGCTTCCTCATACATTCTTCACAAGATTCTCTTAATTTGAGCCTGAGTAAAACCTCAAAACCAGCAGGTAGATGTCATACTTAACAATTTTATTCCTTGTATCTTACTGTCTTCTATAGAAATAAGACTTCTCTGAGCCCTGCAGGGTAAGCTCGTAGAACCCGTTATCCCTTGAAGCTCCATTGCTATACTTGATATTAAGAATTGGAATTTCAGCATACATTCCGGCTGGTGTTACAAAATGACACAATTTCTATTGCAGGGAATTTTATGCTGCCAAAGTTAAAAATGCAGTCACCCTCCAGACAGGAGTCCCTCTTATGGGAGTTTATAAATATGCACGTGTCAAAAGCTACATGTGGTCAAGGTTATTCATGCAGCATTGTTTACAATAAAAAAGGGAAAAAAATGAAGAAGAAAAGAAAACAAGTGTCAATCCAAAGGGAAACTATTTGACAGAATACCATGCAGTGACAGTGAAAAG